GAATACAAGTTTTTACGGTAATTCCTTCAATAATTTTGGTATATGTTTCATAGGGTCTGTAGCTAGCAAACATCTGCCCAAATCATGTACCTACCTGATTTTGTAGAACGTGTTGATAATGGGATTGTGTTCTCATCGCTTTCTTCTGTTCGTTCGTCAAATGCTGTCGATGAGTCGAGTGAAGTTGGTATCACTGAACTAGACGATGTTTCAGTAGTTGTTAGAGGTCTAATCAGTAATACTGCAAAATGTTAGACGTGTTAGATGTGGTGGAATATTTTGTTCTATAAGTTCGGTTATAATAAAGCTTGGCATAACTATAAAACTGGATATAAAAGAAAGTAGGACCAAAGATCTTTAAATATATATATTTTGTCTTTATATCTCATTAGAAACTGGCATGTAAAAATATGAAGTTTGGTACCAGTGTATATAAAAGACATAGTGTGATTTTCCGTCTACACGAAAACTAAATAACTATAAAACACATTCAGTATTAACAAGCGTTATCGCCAAAATATTTTCTTCATTTGGTAACTATTGTTCACACGGCAGAAGTGTGGGTACATGGTACGCAGGGGGCACCACGCCCCCCCCCCCCTAATTGAATGTTGAAAAGTCTAAAATGATTCAAAGCTTTTGAATTATCTTACCCTTGCCCCTGCCCACCTCCTACTCCTTACCCCGAGTAATACCATATCACCCTCAATGGCTGGATCCACCTTACTACGAATACGAGGGCATATACGTTGTGTCGATTGCTTAATTACAATATATTATTTAAAAGAAATAAATGTAACCTATATCCTCACACGAATGTGATTTGTACAGTAAATATCCAAGTTGGATTATATTTTTAAAAACGTATGTAGGTTGGTACCGAATTTTCTTCAATGAGAATGATCTACCTTCAACATTGCCCATATAAAAATGATATTTGATACAACTGCACTGTTTTCGTGGGCATATCATGGACAATTGGGCGATACTGGAAAGTCTCTATCAGTTCTGAAAATACTTAAACTTACGGTTATAAATAGAGATTCTATTAGAGCCCCCACAAATAGTAGTTCTATTCCCCGCACACGCGAGATTACAGTCACCGTCTTTTGCCACTCCGTGTCGACTGTAGTTTGTATCAGCAACCCCACAGAAGCATTCTTTTCCAAACTCTAAACCAGCATAAGCGGAATCAGGTTCATTCATTCCGGTGCAGTGGTCAATACACACCTCGATTGTCATGTTTTTAGATATTAATAGGTAATATGGCAGGACCCGATTAGTTGCGTCATCTATGAAGCATCCGACATAGAGGTCATCTAAGCGATTATCAAATAAGAGAATACAAACTTGATCCGTTATTCAGTCTTTGTAGGATGGTTTGATTTGTTCGTATTTCTTATCAAGTTTTTTTTGTGTGTTTTAAAAGGAGAAACAAGGGTCTCCTGAGCTAAAGAATGCGTGATAACTTATAGAAACTTAATGATTAGAATCCTTTATCGCCAATTGCTCGGTTTCTATAGATTCAAATCAAACCAACGGACGATCTAAAGAAGAGTTATCTGATATTGGATAGTTTGGATGAGGTAAACATTTTAAAATGAAATGTGGAATGTGCGTAAAACATGCTCTTGTCCAGAATATATAAATAATTTATGGAAAAGCAGCTACTAAACAGTGAAAAGCTATAGCATATACACAGTAATAAGAGATATGATACAAAGCCTTAGAATCGAAAAGTGTAATGAAACCTAAATATATTTGTGTATGCAAAGCTCACTCACCATATGTTTCTGATGCCGATGATGCTGGAGCCCAAATAAAGATGGCTAGGCGGATGAAGTAACAAACCAGTTTTAGATCCATTGTTTAAAACTTTCTATGACATAACTCATAGAGGCAATTGAAAGGTTTAGACTTTTCCTCTCGTTCACTGCTTCAGATCTGGATGTGTTGGAAGTAGTTTCCAATGGCAGTAATTATTGTCACAAATATCATGAATATGTTTGTTCTCTTGAAATGATAGGTTTTCCTTTCCGCGAAGATAAATAGACATTAAACTGTTGAACCCTAACTCATATCAAATAACGAAGTAGTTGACAGCTTCCCTGTGATAAACTAAACACGTTCATCACTAAGTGTATTTAAACCAATATTAAACACTGTCTACCATAATAAAACTGTTCGCACAGCAATCGAATGAGTTTATGCCCACTGTATGCATTTGCTGGTAATTATACAACTGAACTTCCTCAAAACACGCTTTCCTATATCAGTCAGAACGTGAATGATAAACCGAGTGTATTTGCTCTGTTTGTTTCCGTTGTGGCCACGGAGAGCTCATGTCATGAGGAATAGAATAATCATATGAAAAGAAACCTTGTATACCATCCGACTGTAATTCTAGGTAATTAAAATATCATACTCTTGGGGGATGTGGCTTTTAAAAAGCTATTGTCTCACCTAGTGGCGTACGAAGTATTTTTTCAAGGGGGGTTTAACATTTTTAAATCGCGCCGAAAATTTCGCAACGACTCAGCCAGCCGCTGACTCCGCTAAATAAGCAGGGAGGAGGGGGGGGGGGGGGGGGGGGGGTAAAGGGCATATTTTTTTTTTGGGGGGGGGGATCTGGAAATTTTTCTTTCAGTGAGTTGGGAGGGGTAAGGTCTTTCTTTTCTTTTTTTTAATTGAGGGGGGGGGGGGGTTCTATAGGGTCTATAGTCGGCATGATCAGACTCTAATGTCGATACTTAATAACTTCCCATGAAGCCTTGAACAGAGTCTAGCTTCTCAGACTCTGGCTGTGTAAAGTAGCATTATCTAAAGTTTAAAAACCCTATCATGTAATATATGGTGTCCAGTTACCGTATCGTGTGCATTGTCTCAAATTTCTGACACTACATGTATGTTAATACACAGAGCGACTGACACCTTCTGTCTCAGGAAAATGTAAAGAAATATATAAAGGAAGTCGTAGGAACAAGTTCGTGGTGATCATCATCTATGGTTGTTAACCTATATTACATGTTTGGTCCTTACTTTTGTAACTCACGCAATTCTATTTTTTATGTAATTATGCCACTTATTATTTGTACATAGTTTAAGTTTAATATTTCATGTTAAACTTTTTCTTCTTTTTTTTTCTTCATGTATTTTGTATGTTGCAGCAGGGCGTCATTTTAAAACAGTTGCTTAAACGGAATACATGCCAAAACAAAAGATAGTATCAGTAAAAGGTAATCATTTTTAAAGCTTTGCATTGCAAATGGGAGCTATATATCTATATTGAATATAGAGTATACACGTATGTTCTTATTAAATTAAAGTAAAAGTAAATCTATAACATCTATGTATGGCAGCATGAATACATTTACCCATGCGAAAACGTATCTATTTCACAAAAAAATTATATACATACCATTTGTTAAACATGTTTACTCATCCCAATTGCCAAGGCACAGATTCTAAGAGAACGGTTTATTCATCATATTTTATTTTTGTTCACAAACTTACGAAACTATATAATTTGTCTGCGCCGTTAGACAGGATTCGGTGGAAGTTTGATTACAACATGCTATCATCCTTACAATGATCAAATATAATTCTACCTAATTACTATGCAATACGAGACATTATTGTGGTATGTACATACACACATTTTCATAAATTTGTTGTTTATAATGTATGTATTTTGGTCTGTTTTCTAGATATGTCTTTTACGAAAAAGTTGTGCTTTAAAAACATGACATCTCACATTAACAGTTATATTCTTGATATATCTATTTCATCCGCGAATGGAGTAGCATTTCACCACGCTTGTTGTGTATAAAAAGTATTTTAACCTTCTTTCTAGATATACTTTTTTTTCTTCTTCGAAAGGGCTGTCCTTTAAAAGCATGATTCAACTTGTATTAACATCTCATATTAACAATCGTATCCTTAATTGGACAGCATTCTATCATGTGTAAAGTCTCAATTTCAGTAATACATATATGTTTCATTTTGCATACGTATTTACACATCCGTTTGCCCTTGCACAGATTATAAGGCAACACTATAATTAGATTTTTCTCGTTAACAAATTAACGAAACTAATGCAATTGTTCGCCCTTAAACAGGATGCAGTGTACGTTTTCGTTAAAACATGCAACATCCTTGCAATGATAAAATATAGTTCTACCTTTTACTGTACAATACAATATATTATAAGGGTACATATACACATATCCTATTTAATTCACGTCTAAAATATGAGTATTTGTATTATTTTCCAGATATATCTCGGACAAAAGGGTTGTCCTTTTAAAAACATTATATGTGCTATCTCACATTAACATCCGTATCCTTTAAATCATTTCATCCGTGAATGTTGCAGGTTTTAATAAGGTAAAAGGTCTATTTTTCAATACAACTGATATATTTCAGTATACATTTTCACACATCCCCTTCGCCCTTGCACCTTTCATACGAAAACATCAAATTCTGATTATTTTTCTTAAATAGCTAAATTTACAAAGCCGATCAATTTATCACCGGTAGACAGGATGCGATGTATGTGTTTATATTAGGGCATGCAATCATCCTTACTATGATAAAATACAATTCTACCGTCCTGTGTTATACAGGTCATAGGCATTATAACCGTGTAATACAAGTTCATTCATTCGTACAGACACCTTTTTTTATAGCACAGATTAATACAAAAATATACATGTGATACTTATATAAATAATTATTTTTACTAACCAAAGTTTGAATCGCCTCTAAGCCCCTCGCTAACGTTTTCTTTGTTGTCTATATTAAATGTATTGTTATTTGTTTTCTAGATATATATCTAGGAAATCGTTGTCAACAATAATTTTTTTTAATTAAGGGTAGGCTTATACATTTCACATTTCCTTCCTCAGAATATATATCTGCTGAATATTTCAACCTAGCTGTTTTTTTATCAAAGACATTTGCAACAACAATAAAAAAAGACAATGTTTTATTAGGTTTTTTAAACTCATATTCATTTATCTTTATTAACCAAAAAGCAACCTAGAGTGTGTTTGCATTTAAATGGATATGGGGAGATCGGACAAACCTTTTTTTAATTCAACAAAAGTAGAACAAAAACAGCAAAACCATTACCCCTCTCTATTTCCCTATGACATTCTATGTAGAGCTGTAGATATCATTTTCTATCATTACAGCGTTATCAACATCATTGCCCCGTCGTGATTTATCTGGCATGGCGTACATGGCTTCTACATCATCACGCTTTCCGGCGCCATTTTGTGTCACGTGGTCACGTGGGGTTTTGTTTGGAAGCGCGTACAAGCCCTCACCATCTGTCGATGCCTCCATACCGATCGGCTCTAAGCGGTTTTTCGTGGAAGTGGCATACAGCGCGTGGAGGTTGTCCTCCCCCAGCGCTGCTTTACTGTTGCTCGAGTACACAGTCTTGGCTCTTCTGTCTGGCATAGCGTACATCAATGACGGATCGTCTGTGTCATTTGCTGGCGAGGTGGTCGTCTTAGGTCGAGATGAGGTTTTAGCTGACATGTCAGGCATTGCATAGAGAGCTGCAGGGTCGTGTGTTGCTTCTTTCATGGTAGATCTCTTCTCCGAGTTCATGTATGTTAGTTCGTTATTGTCCACGGTCATGTTCTCATAGTCGCGTTCCGTCTCTGCACTCTTGTTCTCATAACAAGGATCCTCTTCCTCTTTGGTAGGTCTACTACGTTCTTTATTGCCGTCCTTAGTAGGAATCATCGTTGTTAATGGATGTTCAGTAGCATGTGTTCGCTTCTCTGGATTTCTTTTAGAATAGGAACGAAAATGGGGGGAAATACATGTCATAAATACACGAAGGCGAATCCGGGGGCACGTGGGGCAGGCGCCCACTCCCGTCCCCACAAAAAAAATGAAAGGTCTATTATCATTGTATTTGTCTAGGTTTTTTTATATAGTGCACAAGGATGCAAAAATATACATATTTCCGATCATTATGTGCATTCTGTTATGTTAGATAATTTGTAAAAAATATTTATTCAGTTGTCTTTGTTAACACTAAGCCCGCCTCTATAAAAATGAAGGATTCCGGCCTCCGGCGGTCATGTGATCAGGTAACGTCATGAGCAGAACGAACGCTTCCATAATTGAAGATTTGCCACATGCAATGTGTATTTGTGTTTATGTGTATAATCGAAACCACTATCCAGACAGCAGATAAACACATTTTCTGTGAATAAGTCTATAAGCTCGATTGCCAACTAATATACCATCAACGTGTATAGTAGCAACACCAGAATGGCGCAGTTTAACAAACTATCCCCCGGGACAAAAATGTGTGGAATATATGGACAGCGAAGGCAAAACTTGGAAACGGAGACTAGTTAGGACTGAATATTTAAAGTACACATCACGTTTAAAAATATAATGTGACCCGACTGAACAATTGGACCAAACAACACTTTTTACGCTGATCTATATTTGTTCGTGCTTTGTTTTGGTATGTTTTGTTTTGTGTTGTGTTGTTCTGAAGTCCTATATTTATCGAGCATCCATGTGCCTATAAAGTTTTTAATACACTGTGTCATTTCATTTCTTAAATAAATTTTTCATAACATTTATAATTTTGAGATTATATTCATTCTTACTATAGGCTTACCTGCGTCTACATGTGACGACAACAATTATTATGATGATAAGTATCAGAAGAAATGCGCCTCCTCCACCAGCACCTGCATATAATACTGGAAAAAAGAATATGAATGGAAAATGATATTGCAATTCCCTTGGGGATTGCTGAACCAAAAGATGACGGGGAAAATACATTAAAAAATACATGTAAAGTCAGGTGCTCAATTTGTCTATTTAAATTCCGAGGACAAAAAAATCAAAAAGAAAGCATTCATAACAGAGCCCTATTGAATCTCGAATGCCGTTCTAAAACTATAGAGATGAGATGTTTATTAAAATGATTTACCTTCCCCACAATGATCCTCCTAGAATTAAAAGCATATTCTTACAAACGTCAGGAACAGAGTACATACCAATGCCGTTTTTGTCGCCTGAAACTGGCTGAACACTCGACATCGAAGTAGACTGTACGGCAATAGAGGTTGAGAGATCTGTTCGAATTTTATTCAGGTGCATAACAATGGCATTATCATAATTTTATGATAGCCGGATTGACCAATTATAAGTGTGATATATAGACTAGTATATATTTAATGTATTTTTGTCTTTTATTCATAACAGTAGGTGGAAAAATAAAAAGTCGATGAGTTTGTGTAAAATCCAGTCATTATTATAAAAAAATATATATATTATTAGGTTACACCTTTTTTCCCCACTATCTGTGATTTTACATATCAACGGCACCCTGCAATAGATTTCACTATTACTATTTTATCATGTTATGTATGTAAAGCAACTACATATAACAAAGTCGGTAATAAACAAGGGCAATCCCCAAATAAAACCTTTTGATGGAAAATCTTTCAATAAGTTTGGTATATGTTTTGTAGGGTCTATAGCTAGCGAAAGTCAGCCAAAAGTATGTACCTACCTGATTTTGTAGAACGTGTTGTTAGCGGGGTTGTGCTCTCATCGCTTTCTTCTGTTCGATTGTCAAATGCTGTCGATGCGTCGGGTGAAGTTGGTATCACTGAACTTGACGATGTTTCATTTGTTGTTTGAGGTCTAATCAGTAATACTGCAAAATATAAGACGTGTTAGATGTGGTGAGTAAATAAATTACGATAAGTTCTTGGTTATGATATAGCTGAAAAGAAGTATACGACTGGATATAAAAGAAAGTAGGACCAGATATTGTTAATGGCAACGTGTTTCTTTCAAAAAACATCGAAAACCAGTTGAGCATGTACAAAATGAATCTTTGTCCCATTATTATAATATGTAAACGACAACGTGTGATTTTCTGCGACTACAAAATAACAAGAACAGTAATAAAACAGATTCAGTAATAATTATCCATGCACTATTGAAAAAAGGGATAGGTTTTTTTTAAAACATTGTCCATGTGCCCCCGCCAACCCCTCCCTCCCTCCTTCCCCACCCCGTGTACTACCCAAGTGACCTCAATGGCTGGCTCCACCCTACCACGGCTACGAGGAGCACATACACGCCGCGTATAGTGTGATATATCAAGATAGTTGATGAGGATGATGATTCACAGCATTTGAAAGGCGCCATATATCTGTTTCAAAAAACATTCAAAGGCGCGAGCTCCTCCAATGAAGTTAGCATTTAAATGTCTGAAGGAAGGTGTGAGTTTTGAGTGAAGCTTTGAAGTGGTCAAGGTTGTCAATTTCGCGAATAGATGAGAAGGGAATTCCACAGGCGAGGAGCAATGGAGGAAAATGCTTGGTCTCCATATCCCTTGAGATGAGTAATGGGCACCTGGAGAGTAAGGCCAGATGAGCGAAGTCCGGGGCGAAGTTAACAAGATTTTGTATTTAACATTTGTTTTATAACATCAATTTCATCACACAAAGGTGATTTGTAAAGGCCATGTCTAAATCAGAATTTTGCTATATTTTAAAATTTATAGTTATTACTTAAATTCGAATTGTTCATTTTTTAAGAATGATCTACCGTCAACATTGCCCATAGAGAAATGATATCTTATTGAATTGCATTGTTTGCATCGGCATAACATGGGGTGCATGTTCCTTGGGGATAGAATATTTCTCCATTAGTAAAAAAAAAAAAAAAAAAAAAAAAAAAAAAAAAAAAAACGCTAATTTGGGCGATTGTGGAAATTTACTATTGGTTTTGATGCTTCTTGAACTTACGGTTATAGATAGAGATTCTGCCTACGCCCCCACAGTAAGTAGAGTCATCTCCCCCACAGCGCCAATTACATTCATTGTGTTCTGCCACTCCATATCGACCGTAGTTCGTACCAGCAACCCCACAGTAGCATTCATTCGCAAACTCTACTCCAGCGTAAGCAGAGTCACGGCCACCCAATACTGTGCAATAATCAATGCACAGCTCAATTGTCATCTCACTTGACCACGATGAGGCATCAGGTAGGACCCTAAAATTAGCGACATCGATGTAGCATCCGACATAGAGGTCATCTAAACGATTATCAAATAAGAGAATAAAAACTCGTTCCATTAGTCATTATATCTATAGAGTTTATCATCAATATTGTATGTTTATTTTATTGCTCATTTTCGTTCGTTGTGGGATTGTTTGTTTCATCCGTATTTCTTTAATAAATTAAAGTATTTTGGCGACAATAGTCAAATCACTGACTAATCGCCAATAACTCAAAACACAACAACAACAACAATATTCCATTTGAATGTCTTGAAACACTCTAAAAAAAAAGATACCCAATATTGGGTAAAATTTTACACTTTACGGGGGTAAAAAGGGAACATGCATGTTTGTTGGGTAAAATTTGACACAGGGGTGGTTGGGTAAAAATTTACCCAGCAAATGTTTAATGTTTTACCCAACTGATGTGCAATATATTTGACCCAACGTAAAAGGTAAAATGTTACCCAACGACAACCATGTTCCCTTTTTGACACAACATTGGGTAATTTTCACTCAACTCATCCTGGGTACTCGTTTACTTTGTTCTTGTGTAATTTTTTACCCAAAAGTCGGGTTAAATTTTAACCCAACCTTATCGTATGATTTTTTTATTTTTACACAGATTTGGGTATAAAAGAAAATTTGTCCGAGGAGTTGGCTGGAAAAGTACATGCTATATGTAGTGTAGTGTATAAGTAGCAGACCTCTCTCTCTCTCTCTCTCTCTCTCTCTCTTGGCTAGATAGTCTTTCGCTTGGCGTGCTCGCATTAGGTGACTGCATCGCGAATGACATTCTCCATACGAATAATGTGTTGTCCAGAATTATGAGGAATTTCATGTCCATATTGAGAAGATTTACACGCATTCATGCAAATAAATGCTGCGGGAAGCACAAGTGCATGATCGTAGTCTATTTCGAACAAAGTCGTCCATCCTCTGTCGATCTTGAACACGATTAATTCGATGAACTGCTGATTCGGAACGACCGACCACGCTAGCGCTTCAATCATAGTTTTTATCATCTGTTGTGTCATAATACCAACGTTTAGGTGTCAAAACTTGTGTTTACCCAACGCGTGGTTCAAATATTAATCTGCATCGTTACTTTCTTACCCCGGAAATGCGAACAGTCGAATTTTGATATGACACTATGGCAAGTGTAAAGAAATTTCGAAGGGACTTGGTGTTTGGCACAAGGTTGGGTAATACTTTACCCAACTTTTTTATACAGCGATTTTGCACAGCAAAATTTTGCACTCTATTTTTAGAGTGAAGATCAAAAAGAGGGTCTTGAAAAAAAGTAAAAATGCGTGAAAACTTGTAGTAATTTAATGATAAGAATCCTGTATCGCCAGTTGCTCATTTTCTATAGAATCAAATCAAACCAATGGACAATATAAATAAAGTTTACCCACTTCATTGTGGAAAGAAGAAACAGCATTATGCTTTATAATTTGGCTGAGGTAAACATTAACAAAAAACATGTGAAATTTAAGAAAAACATGTACATGTCCAAATTAACAATATTGGAGAGCAACTATTAAATACTGCAAAGCTAAAGCAATACACAGTAATTAGAGGAACAGTGTCAGATAAATAATGCTCTTAGACTCGAAAAGTGTCATGAAACAGAAATAGAGATCAATACAAAGCTCACTCACCATATGTTTCCACTGCCGATGATGATTGAGCCGAAATGAAGATGAGTAGGAGGATGTAGTGACAAACCAGTTTAAGATGCATTGTTTCAAATTCTCTATGACATAACTCATAGAGGCAAATGAAGCTTTAGACTTTCCCTCTCCTTCAAGGTATCACTGCTTCAGATCTGGATGTGTTGGCAGAAGTTTCCAACTCGCCCACATGTGAATGGCAATAATTATTTTCGCAAATATCATGAATATGTTTTCTCTCTTGGAACGTTATATTTTTCCTTTCTCCGAAGATGAACAGACATATACTGTTGAACTCAAACTTATATCAGATAACGAAGTATTTGACATGTGCCCTGTGATATACAATACATTTTTATCAAGTGTATTTAAACAAATGAAACACTGTCTAGCATGATAGACAGCAATCGAACGTGTGTATGTCCACTGTATGCATTTGCTTGTAATTTTACAAGTGAACTTCCTCAAAGCACGCTTTCCTTTCTCAAGCATAACGTGAATGACCAATTGTATTAACTCTGTCTGCTTCTTGTGTGCCCTCGAAGAGCCCATTTCATAATGAATAGAATAATCATATGAAAAGAAACTTTGTTTACCATCCGACTGTTATTATAGGCTAGCATATCACACTTTTGTCAAGCATGTTGGGTTTATACAAAGGTATTGGCCCGAATTCACAAAGGAGGTTTGTCGACAAACCTCCTTTTGTTCTTTACAAACCAGGTTTGTAAAAAAAAACGCGTAAAAACGCGTCATATGACGTACAAAAACCAAGGTTTGTCGACAAACCTCCTTTGTGAATTCGGGCCATTGTGTCCAACCATGGTATGTTTCTGGTCCCACCTCCTCGATCACACACATTAGTCGTGGTGTTTAGGAAATTGAGTCGTATATGTATGTCAAAAAGATTCTGATATCTTCCCCGGACTGCACTGACAAAGACACACTTAGAATCAAAGTTTTTGTTTACATGCCTCGCGTTATTTCAAACTAACCTTTAAGACGATATCGTATATGTGACATTATCAAGAGGATTAAGGGAGATAATATCTTGAAACATGAGAAAAGAAGGAGGTGTCAACTAAAAATACAGGGAAATCACATTTCACATATTGGTTTTAAAGTAGTCCATCGACTGTGTGGATACATCTTGGTACTAAGATCGTCACTTTGGTTGTGCCAGTTTTGATTTTACTTGCCATTTGTTCCATTTATTTGAATAATGAACCTTGTTTCACAATGACACCGATCACAAATAATCTATGTCACATCACACATCTTCCACTCTTCTAACCATCCAAAATATAAATAATAAAATTATATACATCCATCAGGAATACATAGCTAGTTCAACATCATATCAGAATGACGAATGGGAATACACATAGCCACAAATATTTGGCTTGCTTGACATGCTTTTTTACAATATTTTCCCCATTCTCAGTGACTAGCTGATTTTTCTGGCACTATTTACTCACTGTAGATCTATTATTATTGCTTTTGAACGTCAGCCTCTACAATGTATTGTTGTAGTACAGTCATTGCTGTACATGTAGTACAATCAGAGGATGTGTTTGGCCTTTTTGTGTTTAAACCAACCGAACATCGTTATAATAATGTTAGGCCTGTATCCAATGTGCATCATAGAAAATCACAAATGAGTTCATATTGAGTCGTATTGACATGTTACACTAATGACATGTTACACGAATATATACATTGTTTCGGTATACTTGCTTTACTGTTGTACCCCTACTGTTATACCATATCAAGGAATAACTTTTAAAACAAAATACCTACTTCAGATTAGAGCATATAAGAATAAAGAAAATGAAGGGTATGTAAGAAGAAAGAGAGAAGAAAAAAAAAAGAAGAAGAAGAAGAAGAAAGAGTATTTAAAAGTATATTCATCATGATCATACTAAATCAGGGCCCTATGAATGTCAATTATATGTTGTTCCTATGTTCATATGTTGAGGCAAGATTGTTCATATTCATGTAAATATAAACAATTATCCTATATGGACACAATAAAGAAATGAAATATGTAGATAGATAATACTGTAAATAAACACAGGAAAAGAGAATTACCAGCACCAATTTATTAAATGCTAGATGTGTGCATCATAAACATGAAATTATTTACAAATGTTATCATTCTCCTTGCATACCAGTGTATAATTTAAACATTTTAAAAAATATGTATTCACCATAAATAAGATACAGCATACATTTGCTTCATGCTAACTGTATAGGAATCCAGTTAATAGATTCTAAGAGAACAGTATATTCATCCTATTTTATTTTTGTTCACAATCTTACGAAACTATATCATTTTTCTGAGCCATTAGACAGGATTCGGTGGAAGTTTGATTACAACATGCTATCATCCTTACAATGATCAAATATAATTCTACCTAACTACTATGCAATACGAGACATTATTGTGGTACGTACATACACGCATTTTCTTTCATTTGATTTTTATAATGTATGTATTTTGGTCTGTTTTCTAGATATGTCTTTTACGAAAAAGTTGTTCTTTAAAAACATGAAATTTCACGTTAACAGTCATCCGCGAATAGTGCAGCATTTTATCACGCGTGTTGTGTATAATCTAACTGTTTTAACCTTCTTTCTAGATATACTTCTTTCTTCAGTCTTCGAAAGGGCTGTCCTTAAAAGCATGATTCAACTTGTATTTACATCTCGCACCATTCTATCATGTGTAAAGTCTCATTTTTCAGTAATACATATATGTTTCATTTTGCATACGTGTTTACACATCCGTATTGCCCTTGCACAGATTATAAAGAAACACTATGTTTAGATTTTGTTCGTTAACAAATTTTCGGAACCAATGCAATTGTTCGCCCTGAAACAGGATGCAGTGTAAGTTTAGTTAAAACATGCAACATCCTTACAATAATAAAATATAATTTTACCTCACTGTACAATAGAAGATATTATAATGGTTTATATACACATATTCTTTTTAGTTGAAGTCTGTAATGTGAGTACTTTTATTCCTTTGTAGATATATCCTGTACAAAAGGGTTGTCCATTTAAAAAAATTATGTCCTCACTTTACATGTGTATCCTTGATACTATTACATCGGTGCATGGTCCAGGTTTTATTCAGGTAAAAAGTCGTTTTTGTCAATACAACTGATATATTTCACGACAAACATATTAACACATCTCATTCGACCTTCCACCTATTATACGAAAACATCAAATTCGAATAATTTTTCTTAGCTACATTTACAAAGCCAATCAATATTTCAACGGTAGACAGGATGCGATGTATGTTTTATAAGGTCATGCAATCATCTATAATGTATAAACTATGATAAAATACAATTCAACCTCCCTGTGTTATACAAGTTATAGGCATTAAAATAATCGTGTAACACAAGTTCATGCAAGCGGAGAATTTTTGTTTGCATAGTAAAATGTGTATCAATGAAAAAGGAGCACCATTCACCATAGTTGAACAAATCTGTATACATTTTAATTTCTATTCATTTGTATAGACATCACTTCTTTTTTTTCCTAGCACAGGTTCATAGCAAGAACATACATGTAATATTTGTATAAACAATTTGTTTCTACATATTTACTAACAAAAGTTCGAATCGCCTCTAAGCCCCCTCACTAACGTTTTCTTTGTTGTCAATAATATATGTACAGTTCTTTGTTTTCTTGATAATATAATTAGGAAAGGGTTGTCAACATATATCCTTTTTAATGAAGGGCAGGTTTATACATTCCACATTTCCATCGCCAAAATACAGTTGCTAAATATTTCAACCTAGCTGGTTTTCTGTCAAAGACATTTGTAAAAAAAAAAAAAAAAAAAAAGAAGAAGATAATATGTTATTGTGTATTTTTAACTCGTATTTTGGGTATTACCCCCAAAGCAACATAAAGTGTGTTTGCATTTGGGAGGGTGTGGGCGGATATGCATTTGAACCGACCAACATTTTTTATTTCAACAAAAGTAGAAAAAACAGCAAACCCATTACCCCTCTCTATTTCACTATATTCTATGTAGAGCTGTAGATATCATTTTCTATCATTACAGTGTTATCAACATCATTGCCCCGTCGTGATTTATCTGGCATGGCGTACATGGCTTCTACATCATCACGCTTTCCGGCGCCATTTTGGGTCACGTGGTCAGGAGGGTTCTTGTCTGGTAGCGCGTACAAGCCCTCCCCATCTGTTGATGCCTCCATACCGATCGGCTCCAAACGGTTTTTCGTGGAAGTGGCGTACAGCGCACGCTGCTTTCCCGTTGCTCGAGTACACAGTCTTAGCTCTTCTGTCTGGCATAGCGTACAGCAATGACGGATCATCTGTGGCATTTGGTGGCGAGGTGTACGTCTTAGGTCGAGGTGAGGCTTTAGCTGATAGGTCAGGCATGGCATAGAGAGCTGCAGGGTCGTGTGTTGCTTCTTTCATGGTAGATCTCTTCTTCGAGTTCATGTTTGTTAGTCGTTATTGTCCACGGTCATGTTCTCATAGCCGCGTTCCGTCTCTGCACTCTTGTTCTCATAACAAGGATCCTCTTCCTCGTCGGCAGGTCTACTACGTTCTTTATTGTCGTCCTTAGAAGCAATCATCGTTGTTAGTGGATGGTCAGTAGCACGTGATCGTTTCTCTTTATTTCTATTTGAATAGGGTCGAAAATGGGATAAAAATATATGTATTAAATAGGTATTTCCCTCCTTAGAAAATAATGGTCTACTATTTTCTCTTTTTATTCCGCTTGCTTATTAACAAAATTAGGATACCAAGAACCCGAAAATACGTTTTCCCGATTACTAAATGCATTCTTTTATTTTTTTCATAATATGTAAGAACTATTTATGCAGTTGACTATGTCAATACTAAGCCCCATCTCTATACAAGGAAGCATTTTGTATTCTGGTGGTCGTGTGACCATGTAACGTCCTAAGCAGAACGATCACTTCCACATTCAGCAATTTGCCACATTCACGTTGCATTTGTGTTTATATGAATAATCGACACCAATATCCAGACAGCAGATAAACCTTTTTCCTATAATAAAATTTAAAGAGTAGACAACGATTTAAAATGGTTTATTGACAGGCTGACAAAATGTAGGTCAAGAGGTTGTTTACATTTTTGAGGGAAATTCACGCGCTAGGAATGGAAGGAAATGTACAAGCGTATGTACGCTTATCAAGCAAGCGCGGAAAATACCGCCAGCAAATTAAAAATAGCACGAAGGGGCTTTCATTCTAGTTATGGCTTTCATTTTGAATGGACAAGAAGAAAAATTTACGGAGTCTAAAACATTATTAGAGGATTTGGATTAATAGTAAAGTTAGCACTGCACTGGAATAATTAGTTGGATATATAACGCTGAATTATTTTTTCTGGTGAGCGACCAGCGGGATTATACTCGGGTTTTGGGCTGGCCTTTGTCGTTGGGCCTGATTAGAAAGGAGAGTC